TCAAGTGCTCTTGTAGTTTTTGTATGTTGTGCAAGAACTGCAAAAGATGGCACTACTAACGTGAATAAAGCTGTGGATTCCTCGGCATCGCAGATGGCAGCTTTAACAGCACTTCTGAAGAAGACTAGAGCAGACATGGGGAGTCTAATGACAAGGTAACTATCATTCCTTGCAGTGTCTCTAAAGCACTAAAGTATTGCAGACATGATGAAAAGAAGTTTGATATAAAACATGTATAGTTTTTTTTATACAATTACCTACACTTTTGCAAAAAGGAACTATAATTTTTGAAATAATTTATATCTCACTTTTGTAGTCTTCCAATGTAAAAAAAGACAATTTCTATTTTTTTTTCTATTGTAATTATACAATAGATTTAAAAAATACGTATATAATATCAGTTTTTCACATATTAAAATCAGGGCTTTCTTGCAAACGAGTGTATATTTTAACCAGTTATTTGTACCCTTATATTGTATTTGTAACAACAGCCTTTGGTATATCCTTATCAATTATTTATAATACTTCTTATCAGAAACTGACCTCAGGAAAGCTTGTGTTCCGGTGCAATGTTTTCAYAACCAACTCAAGCTCAAGTGAAAAGTTTTTAAGGAATACGATGCATTCTTATTTTTCGTTTTTCGCTTCCATTCAGATTGCACCACTTGGAAAMAAGTCATACGGCTGCTTGGAGAGGTATTTAAGGAGACTGTTTTCCACTCAGACAGAATATAAGCAGAAATAAACGCATTAATGTCAAGTGGTGACATGACTTATAAGCTTAAGAATTGATCGTATCTGCTATGTTTATTTAGGAAGAGATGGACGCGATGGAACTCCAGGGATAACCGGTAAATGTAGCAAAAAAACACCACGTAAAGAATGAAGCAGTAAGAAGGGAAACGGACCGAAGGAAAGAAATGGAAGAAGTGAAGGGAGAAATTTAAGCAAAGTTTATTTACAGAAATACAGCTCACAATTATAAATCCCTAAACAAAATCATAAATACTGTATCTTTTTTATAAATTTGATTAAAAAGCAAACAAAGATATTTGTGGGAGAGGAAGACAGAAAAAAAGAAAGCAATTCAAAGGGCGAGGATATTCCAACAGTAAAAAAAAGTAAAAATTATAATTTGTAAATTACCTTTTTTAAGATATTATGTTTATATGACTTTTTAAAGAAGGGAGGGAACAAGGCAGCAAAAAAAGTAAAAAATAAAAAAAGTAAATAATAAATCAACGGTGCAAAGTATTTAAAGCCGGATCCTGCTGATTATTTTATATATGTAAGTAGGAACTGATTGATTTACCGGATGTTATGATATTTCAGGTCGAGATGGCAAAGACGGTCAACCAGGACCACGAGGTATCTGTGCTTAACTCTTATAAACATCAAGATTTGACAATAACAGCATCCATATTTATCATCAATCGTTTAGGGATCTGTCATTGTTTATCGGTAGGGGYGGGGCGGAGGATTTGCTTATCTATTAGAAC